TCTGCAACCCATCTACCACTTTTGTTAACACCAAGAAGAAACTTAGAACCTCCTCTGACACACCTTATGATGACCCACCTCTGTATCATAGTCTTGGATGGGCTTTACAGTATCTCACATTTACTCGACTTGACATATCATATGTAATTCAGCAAGTTTGTCTTCACATGCATGCACCTAGCATGGAAAACATGCTTGCTCTCAAGCACATTATGCATTATGTTTAGAGTGAAATACAATTTGGATTACATTTATCACCATCTCCTGTCACACAACTTATCTCATACACTGATGCTGATTAGGGTGGATGTCAAGACACCAGACGCTCCACATATGGCTACTGTACTTTTCTAGGTAACAACCTTATATCTTGGTCTTCCAAAAGGAAACACACTCTCTCTTGTTCTAGTGTTGAAGCTGAATATAGAGGTGTTTCTAATGTTGTATCCGAGTCATGTTAGATTTGTAATCTTCTTCTAGATCTCCATTTTCCTATTCCTCATGTCACTTTGGTGTATTGTGATAATGTTAGTGTCAATCTCTATGGTAATCTTGTGCAACATCACTGTACCAAGCATATTGAGATAGACATTAATTTTTCTCGAGAAAAAGTAGCTTGTGGTCGGACACATCTTCTTCACGTTTTCTCCCGACATCAGATTGTTGACATTTTTACCAAATGACTTCCTCACATTCTCTTTGATGATATTCGGAGCAGCCTAAGCGTCTGTGAACCTCCCACTTTGACCAGGGGTGTGATAGAATAGAATATTTTGTAATAATTTATCATTATTAGTTTTCGGTAATTATATTGTACCATAATTAGATTGTTGACCAAACATTGCACATTAGGGTGTGTGTGTGTGTGTGTTTATCTGTGCGCGTGCGTGCGTGTGTATGTACGCGTGCATGTGCGTGTATTCACTTGAATGACAAAATATGAGCATTCCATTATATTACAAAGAAAAACACAAGAAAGACTGACCAGCTATCCAAACTATCTAAAGGACTCAAACATAACCGACCTTTGAAAACATCCAATTATTAATCGTCAAATTTTTCTGACAAAAAATTATGCATTTTTCAAATAATCCAAACCACAAAATTTCAGATCGAGACCAAGCCTAAAGTCACATTTCTCCATGACCCATACCCTGAAGTAGCTTAAATACCCCTAAAATCGAGGGTGACAAAGACCAAGGTTACCCCATCCACCTAAAAAATATATACTAGATGGTTGAAGTAACCTCACGCAACAAAAAGAGATGATCACTCGACTCCGGTTGCCCCTGCACACACAACACACCTTCCATTACTAAACCTAGACACAATTTAGCGTTACAGTAAATTTTGTCTAGTCGGTGAATCATTGCAAAGAGAACGTAACCACTTTAGTAGACGCCCAGCATTTTCAAATCCTAGCAAACCCCCACAAAACCCTCTCAAACTTACCTTTCCTAACTCAAACGAAAGTCGAAAGATTAGCATAAACTAAACTAATCAAAAAGTCTTTAGCCCGGTCTGATTTCCACACATTTCATCATCTTAAAAAATATAGTGTTCTTACATTTTTTTTTACTAATATATGTATTTATTTTAATAGTATAAAATATCTTGAGTAAAAATCAGTATAAAATAATTCATAATGTTTTATAAACTCTTAAAAAGGTATTTTTGAATTAAATCAAACAAACCAGCTTTTAATTGGTTTGGTTCAATTTTTATATAAATATATTTGGAAAAATAAATTATTATTATTATTTATAAATTTGAATTTTATTTTCTCTTAAAATTTGTACAAATTCAACCTCTTACACCCCCTTTACATCTATAAAATTTAAGTATATTTAATTAATTGCGATAAACATGTGTATTTAAGTTTATAATGGTACGTCAAATTCAGTTGCATCATATTTAATTTCTATAGGGAGAGATAACATTTTTTATAAGAAATTTATCGTGCAATCTGAATTGCCCAGTCTTTCTTTAATATAAAAAATAAAAAATAAAGGTCAGTTTTTAAATCAATTTATATCTTAAATTGGACTGTGATGTTTGTCCTTATTCGACTAATTATTCTATCAAATGTATCAAAACAAAAATAGTATCTTTGTTAACTATTTACTTCACAATTTAATATAAATTATTGAAAAATAGACTATATATTTAAAAATTAAACAAACAATAATTTTTTAATAGTTAAAGTTTTATTGAAGAAAAACGTATATATTAAAATTTTATATTTTATATGTGTAAATTAATGATATCGTAATTAAATTAATATGTTTTTTTAAATTTCATTTAGGTATTATATAAAATAAATAAATTATTTTTCAAATAAGATTTATATGTAAAACAGCTGTAATTTTTTTGAAAAAACCAATTAAACTATTTATCAACACAAAGCAAATAGGAAGAAACAAAATGTCATCAAAAGCTTACAAGTTAGTACAAACACTAAAATCTAAAACCATAAGAATAAAATAAGTAAAAGATCTCTTACAAATTGCACCACCAACTGAGATCACCGACAATTGCATGGTTTACCTTCATATTTTAGACACAAGTTAATTATTAGTTTTTTCAATATAATTAAAAGCTACCAAAGAGAAGCACAAGTCGTAATTGGCCTTTTTTGTTAATTGATTTTTTAATGCAAACAATGAAGTAGTTGTTTGTGAATAGGGTACAGAAGTTTCTCACAACAATCAAATAATCAATTGATGATTAGGGATATTAATATTTTTAAGGTTTCCCCATAAATCACGTAACTCTAAGGTGGCGACCATATATATTCAAAATTTGAAATCACGAATAAATATGAAATATTTTTGAAAAATAAAATACTTCTAAATATTTGTCTACAAAATTGCTGTCGAGCTAAATCAACTTTTTTATAAAAAATAAATAAATAACAGTTAAGAGTTAACATATGATAAGTATTTATTTTAATCAATTTTTTTAATAGATTTAAATACAGTTTTAGTTCTTTTATCTTTTTTTTTAATATCTCTTTAACAAAATTCAGTTTTTTATTCCTCTAATAAATTATTTTTGAAATTTATTTTTTGTCTCTTTTCATATTTGTGTAATGTAATACCTAAAAAAGATGACGTGGCTTATAAGATGTGGTGCTAGTCATTAAACAAAATAATAAAATAAAAAAGACAACTAAAAACATTTCAACTCCAATTAAAAAAGGTTTAATATCATCTTTTATGCATTAGTTGTTGAAAATGTAACGATGTTTGAAAAAAAAAAAAGACAACTAAAAACATTTCAACTCCAATTAAAAAAAGTTTAATATCATTTATTTAGAAGATGAAAATTATGTAAAGATTTATTTCTATTTATGGTGGGAGTTCATTATCTCAAGTTTATGCAGACTACAGTGATAGTTGAATGTAGTGATATAGGTAGTACTTATTATTTTCAAATGACATTTTTTTTAATCCATAGTAACATTTTATACATAAAGTTCGTTCAATTTAAAACAAAATTCGATATAATTTATGAGTATGAATTCATATTATAGTAAGAAAATGGATTAAAATAAAAAATGTACTCTTTTGAGAAAAGTTCAGTATTAGAAACTTAGAATCAATACATATGTTACTTAGAGATCCAAATTTGTATTAGTTAAGTAGCAATTTTGTCTTTTCTTGGGAAAATAATTTTTAAAAAATAAAGGTGGTGCCAACATTTCAACGGTCCTAGCTACTATTTTTGAATTATTCTGTTCCAAGCCTGCACCTTGAATCAAATCCAAATTCAAGCTCTAAAACACTTTAGGTGCAACCTTTCCAAGATGCTTAGGGTCGTTATTCCAAATGTCATTATGAATGAGTAATTCAAATAATTAAGTAAGCCAACCAGCTTTATGTAATATCAATCTCATGTTTGCAAGTAAATGTTTTTCAAGTGAAACTGTAAACATATTAAGATGCTAAATTAGAGTTACATTGTACATATTGAATAATCTTTCATAGCAAATGTATGTAGAGCAACCCCTAAAACAAACATTAAAAGCAACTATCTTTACATTACTCTAAGTTTATGAAAGATGAATTTTAAAATGATTACTTAATAATTTAAGTAGTTTCGAACCCCTTTTTTCCCGGATCTAGATTAGGTTTAGATGTAATTGTATTATTATGTTTATAAAATCATTGTCTTATATGCCCAAAGACATGTATATTTATAAAGAAAGTGGAGAAAATATATCCCATATTTTAATGATTAATCATATCCAATCGATATTTTTTTTTTAAATTAGAAGCCGATTAAAGATTACATAGTACAAAGATAATCTAGAACAAATCAACAAAGCAGAAGAAATAAAAATAGCAAGATACAACCAAAAGAGAACATAAGATACAAGAGCTGATAGAAGGTCATTCACCATGCAAACTCTGATACAAGTTGGGCATAGAAAAAAAAAAACTGGTTCAACCTTGCTATTTGATTCTTTTCTCAGTTTGCAAACCAAATTCATGCTCTAAAGTAAAGCAATTTGGGTGGCAGCCATTCCAAAATCAATGATACATGAACAACCACATTTTTTACACCAAAACAATGTTTGGTTAGTTTCATTGAAAAATATCATTAATTCAGTTGATAGTTAATTTAATTACCGGTTAAACTATTATTAATTCAATTATATGAATTAACTATAAATTTTAATATGAATTAAATTAACCATCTACATAATAAAATTAATTATATTTTTACATGTAATTAATCAGATATTGCATTTTATAAATAAAAAACGATCATAAACATTTTTGTTCCAAAAAACATAGGTTGGATTACTCTAAAAGTCAATAAGAAATAGTAATAATTCCAAGATAGCCAACTTTATAGTATAATTTAATATGAATGTATGCATGTTTCCTAGAAGGTGAAGCTAACTAACCAAAAGATGCTTTAAGAATTTCCCTATAAAATGGGGTTGCACCACCATTCTTTTACATAACCAAAACACACTCATAAGAAAAACAATGAGGTCCCTAATGGCCTCTGCTTCTCTCACTCTTGCATTAGCCATACTCTTTATCAGTTTCCCATCTGAAATTTCAGCTAACCACTATTCTTATTCCTCACCACCACCACCCGTCTACTCACCACCGCCACCAAAGAGTCCATACCATTACTCATCTCCTCCACCTCCACCAGTTCACACTTACCCTCATCCACACCCAGTCTACCACTCTCCACCTCCACCAGTTCACACCTACCCTCATCCACACCCAGTCTACCACTCTCCACCTCCACCAGTTCACACCTACCCACACCCACACCCAGTCTACCACTCTCCTCCACCACCAACACCACACAAGAAGCCTTACAAGTACCCATCTCCTCCACCACCACCAGTGCACACCTACCCTCATCCTCACCCTGTCTACCATTCCCCACCACCACCACCACCACCACATAAGAAGCCATACAAGTACCCATCTCCCCCACCACCACCAGTGCACACATACCCTCACCCTCACCCTGTCTACCACTCCCCACCACCACCACCAACGCCACACAAGAAGCCATACAAGTATCCATCACCACCACCACCACCAACTCACACCTACCCTCCTCATGTTCCCCACCCAGTTTACCATTCTCCTCCTCCTCCAGTTCATTCCCCACCTCCACCAGCCTATTACTACAAATCACCTCCTCCACCTTACCACCACTAGATAGCCAATCATTGGCATCACACTATATGGTAACTTTTCATGCAACATATATTATAATATTAATTAGTACAAAATTTCCTTCCCTAGTCAACCACCATTCTCTCTTCATTAACTACCCAACAGTATAATTGTCTGAGTATATGCAATTCTAATTTAAAATGAAACTTCATGTGTAATGAAACATTCTTTAACATTTTAATCTGCATTCTACTAAATTAATTTTCTGTTATAATATTTGGTTATTAATGGACTAGAGTAACAGACATAAACTAACAGATCAATATATATTTGTATGTGTGTAGGATCTAAGCAGAAAGTGTGAAAGCAAAGAAAGCCATGCACAAAGAAGATTGAGGGGATTCTTCACATATATATTTCGTCAATGTTTGATTAATATTGTTTAGAGGGTTGCTTTTATTTATTTAATTTGTGTTTTTGTTGTATAAGCCACAGCTGTAAGGCACTGCCCTCAAAATGCATGTGTCTGCAGTTGTTTGCATGAAATGTAATTTTCAAAGTTCGATTTTGTATCAAGCGAGCCAAATAAATATATCCCCTATTATAGTAATTTGTCCCTTGCATCTATGCCTCGTATTTTTATACTATTCTCATATTTTATGTTTATTTGTTTGTAATAACTATTTTTGGTTTACTTTATTTTCACTGATGTGTATCTTCAGCAACAACATCAGACCCAATTGTGGGATGAAATAAAATCAAGTATAGATGGTATCACGAACCACATTGAAAAATTTCTACCATCTTCTAGATTTTCTCACCATAAACAAAAAAATTTAGAACCATAAATCTCATTCATTAAATGTAGTGAAAGTTTTTTAATTTAAAAGTTTTTCAACCCTGTAATTCAAACACCTCCCAATCAGTATTCACACAGGGGCATAATTTAAAACTCTGAGACAATTTGAAAGAGCAATAATAAAGCAATGTAATAATCAAATGTTCTATCAAAGGAATGATTCGTTGAATATATAGTCAAATTTAGAACTTATCTGAAAATAAACAGTATTATTAGAGAAGAGAGGTGTTTGTATTTAATTAGAACTTATGAGAGGTTAGTATATGTTTTAAAATTTGAGGGGTGTCTATGAAACTTTAATAAACTTTACGGGAGTTGATTATAATTTTCCCTTTGATATAAAGACATCCCTTGTTAAGTCATATCACAAAATCAAACCAATATGTGGCAAAAGATCAACCATCTATACGAACTCTACTGATATCACAAATAACATTTGGACAGTATTAACGTGTCTTAAGTGTTAACTTGTGTCTTAAGGTCGAGAGTTAAAATTAAATATAAAATTTTAGTTTAAAATTTGTGCATTGACTTCATTCAAATTTTAGAATTTATCTTTTTATTGCTTTTTTAACACAAACTTTTATTTGTGAATTTTTTTTAACATATACCCTTAGAATACAAATCAACATTACCTGTAACATTAAATGAAACCAAAATGATTAAAAAAATTATGAATAAATCATTTTGAAAAATACTATGTTAGAAACTTAAAATCAAAAATATATATATATCATAGCCCTTGCACCTGGTTCATTCTTAATCAATCATATTAAATATACAACAACAACCAATTTATATCTTACTAAATTTAGTCGATTACATAAATCAAATTTTACCATAATATTTTATTCAAGATCATGTTTCTATACAATTCTTTAATCTCGATATCTTTTTTAATAACTTCTTTTATAGTTTTTGTAGGTGTTCCTCTACCTTTAATTGTTTGACTCTCCTCCATTTGATCTATTTTCCTTACCACAAAATTTACAAGTCTTCTTTCTACATGTCCAAACCATCTAAGTCTATTTTCCATTATCTTTTTTACTATAAATGTTTCCCCAACACTCTATATAATATTGTCATATTTCTAATCTTATTCTGTCTAGTCTTACCACAAATTCAACACAAAATCTCCGTCTCTGCTACGCTTACTCTATTCTCATGTTGAATCTTAATCGCCCAACATTCTGTCTCGTAGAACATCAACATCACAGGCTGTACCGCAGCTCGAAAAAATTTTCCCTTCAACTTGAGTGATATCTTTGTGTCACACAAAACACGTCCTCCTCTATTTCAGCCACTCAGCTTTATTCAATGGTTTACATCCCCTTCTATTTCTCCATCGTTTTGTATTACAGACACAAATATTTAAACGGTGTGATTCGAGGGATAATATGGTCTCCAACTTTCACCACTAGGCTAGAAACATTTTTCTTTTTGTTGAAATTACATTACATACACTCCGTCATACTTATACTAAAGCGAAAGTCATGTGTTTCTAAGGCTCGTCTCCAAGTCTCCAGCCTCTCATTCAAATCCTCGTTCGACTCTCCAAGTAGAACTGTATCATCTGCAAAGAGCATGCATCTTAGTGTTAGCTCTTGGATGTGTTCCGTGAGTCTGCGCATTAGTCGATACTCCTTCATACATATCTTGGATAGCTCGAATATATGCAATCCTAACCCCTTTCTTCTCTAGGATTTTCCACAAAACCTTTCTAGGCACTCCATCATACATCTTCTCCAAGTCAATGAAAATTAGGTGCATGTCTTGTTGGTTCATCCAATATTGCTTCATCGCACGTCGTAGTAGATAAGCTGCTTTCATGGTCGACCTTCTAGACATAAAACCAAATTGATTCTTAGTGAATTGAGTTTTTTTTCTTAGTCTTCGTTCAATCATTCTTTCCCATAACTTCATGGTATGCCTCATACATATCTGCCTTGTTCTTATAGATTGAAACTAAACTGCTTCTTCTTCATTCATCCGGCATTTACTTTGACCTCGTAATTTCATTAAAAAGTTTGGTGAACCACTTGATGCCTTTATCTCAAAGAATTTTCCACACTTCTATAGGTATGTTGTTTGGCCCAACCGCCTTATTGTTATTCATCATTTTCAATGTTTCTTATACCTCTTGTTTCTAAATCCGACAGTAGCAATTATAGTTTCGATCCTCTTCTCTAGTGTTAAATCTAGTGAGGTCTAGTGAGATATAATATCGTTCATTAAATAATTTGTAGAAATTCGTCTTCCACCTATCATTTTTATCTTTTTTTTAACCAAGACTTTGCCTTCTTCATCTTTAACAAATTTCACTTAATCCAAATCTCTTATCTTTCTTTCTCTTCCCTTAGCAAGCCTACATATAGATTTTTCTCACTCCTTGATTCCTAACGATTAGTCTAATTTGTCAAAGACTTGAGTTATTGCTTCATTCGTCGTCTTCTTAGTCTCTTTTCTTAGCTTTCTTATACTTTTTTTCAAGTTTCGGCATTTTTACACTTATTTCATTCTTTAAAACAACCATTTTTTACCCCTAGGTTCAAAACCTCTTGATTCTCTCAACGTCTCTTTAGCTACTTTTCTAATCTCTTGTCTCATCTTATTCCACATATCATTTGCACTTTCTTGTGGTTGTCCAAACCCTTCCTCTAAGATCTTGTGTTGAAAAGTATCTTCACTCTCCTCTTGATTCTTACATCCATAATCAACATTCAATGTTGGGTAGTCAAGTTTTTTTCCAGTATAACTTTACAGTCTAAACAAATCTTCCTATCCGACTTTCTAATAAGAAAAAAAATCTATTAGCGAACATGTCATCTCACTCTTATATGTGAGATGTTCATCTCTTTTTCTAAGGCAAGTATTAGCTATAATAAAATCAAAAGTTAGACGAAAACTCTAAGATATATTTACCCTTCTCATTTACCTCCTCGAGACCATACCTCTCATGCACCCCTTTAAAATTTCTTACTACACTCCCTTTGTGTCCGTTTAGATCCTGTTTAAAAAAATCTTTTTTGAGGTATATTTGAAATATAAATGTTCTAAATATTACTAATGCTGTGCTAAATGAAGCTGAGATGCATAAGATGCATAAGCAACAAATATATATATATATATATATATATATATATATATATATATATATATATATATATATATATATATATATATATATATATATATATATATATATATATATATATATATATATTCTTGCAGATCAAAATGATTAAAATATATTCTTATCTTTTCATTTTGGATAAATTAAAACAAAAATCAAACTGGTGCCAAAATTTCTTTAATTCTTGCTATTGATTCTCTTGTCAGCTTGCCAGTGTCTGCCAAACCAAAGTATCGCTCTAAATTAAAGCAATTTGGGTGGCAACCATCCTAAAAACAATGATACAATGATACGGACAACCACTTTTGGTACATGAGGGCAGTACCTAGCTAATGAGGGTAAAAATGTAATTAAGTTAGATGATAGTTAAATTAATTAAAACACAAAATTGTGGTTGGTTCAACTATGTGAATTAAATATATATTCAACTAAATTTATCATTTTATTTTTTAAGGTCGAATTGTTCTAAAAGTCAATAAGAATGGATAATAATTCAAAGTTAGCCAGCCTTGTAGTACAATTTAATATGAATGTATGCTTGTTTCCTAGAAGATGAAGTTAACTAACCAAGATGCTTTAAGAATTTACCTATAAAATGGGGTTGCACCACCATTCTTCCATAGAACCAAAATACACTTGTAAGAAAAACAATGAGGTCCCTAATGGCCTCTGCTTCTCTCATTCTTGCATTAGCCATACTCTTTCTCAGTTTCCCATCTGAAACTTCAGCAAACCACTATTCTTATTCCTCACCACCACCACCAAAGGATCCATACCATTACTCATCTCCTCCACCTCCACCAGTTCACACTTACCCTCATCCACATCCAGTCTACCACTCTCCACCACCACCGGTTCACACCTACCCTCACCCACACCCAGTGTACCACTCTCCTCCACCACCAACACCACACAAGAAACCTTACAAGTACCCATCTCCTCCACCACCACCAGTGCACACCTACCCTCATCCTCACCCTGTCTACCATTCCCCACCACCACCACACAAGAAGCCATACAAGTATCCATCTTCCCCACCACCACCAGTTC